TTCAGAGCAGAATTCCTTCCTGCTTTATGAGTCAGTAAAACATTAATTAAAAATGAGAGAATGATTAAAACTTTGCAGGAGAATACCAAGCTGTGCCTACACAACCTAACAAGCATGAAGGCCCTTACTGCATTTTGAAAATTAATCCTAAACTTCCAGCTGTTAAAAGGAAAACGCTCAATTCTACAGTAAAACTGACAATAATTTGAATACTTTCTTTTAAAAAGCATTTAAATATTTTGATCCACCAACCAAAAAAGGAAATCTTGAGTAGCATTGTAGAGTATGAAATCCAAACATGCATGCATTTTTTAAATGATTAGTTTAGCAAAATGTTTTAGTTGCTTGGGAAACGGTGTAACAACATAGCCCATCTTTAACAGAAAAAGGTCTACGTACTTTTATCCTCCTTTGTTAAAATCCAATTTAGGAAATAAATCAGAAATCTGATCACAAATTAACAATGGGTATAATCCTTTGCTGCTAGTGATATGGAAGGCACAGTTCATTTCATCTGACCAAGTGAAACAAACACAGTGGGTGTGTCTACGTGTGTCCCCGACTGCACAGCTGTTACTAAAGCAAGTACTAAATGTCTACGCAGTAACCACTAGTACTACACAGTAGCATTGGCATCATGGTTCGTGCCCACTGACACTATATCACCAATGCTACAGCAACGTAGTATTTACATGAGACGCTTTACAGCAGACTAATTTGCTAAGTAGTAAAGTATCACTATCTACACATGCGCAGCAATTAGGGAGCAGATTAATTTACTGTACAGTTGGGTAGTCCCATCAGATACAAATGGTATCTGGCAGCACAGTAAATTACTATGCTTAAATGCAGGCGCAGACAGCGAGGTCAGGTTTAGTTTATTCAGTCACATTACTTGCATGTGTAGATATGCCCCGTATGAGCCAGATTCTTCTTTTGTTAAAGTCAGTGTCCAAGCTTGCATTATCTTCGGTAAGACCTAAATATTTATGGAATATATTTATGGAAATATTTATACAGTCTCGAATTTCAAATAAGAGATCTCTTATGCAATTCAACATTTCAATCAGAAATCTATTATGATCTACCTACTAAACATATTTTTTTAAAGAAAGCATATAATATGAAAATATGGGATTTGTTAAACTATTTGTTACAAGGCTTCCTTAGCAATTACTGGGTCTCAGATCTACAAGCTGCTCAATATGAACTCATCACTTCAGCTATCTTGTATCCTTTGGTTTTTTGACTAATTATTTAACCCAACACTCATTTTCTTCCAAAGCAATTAGCTATTCATAAACTGCATTTAGTTCATTCCTAATAAACACTGTACAATTGGTAATTTAACTCCATAGGTCACCTATGATTTTTGTATCCTGATTAGATGGCATACCTTTTAAAAATAAAACAGAAGAGTGAATCTGGTACTTTTGATATTAATTTTGATGGAAAGGTAATTCAGAACTTTTATGGCAGCTACCCAGAAAACCAACAAATCGGGTTAAGCCACAAGACATGAGTTACACAGTTAAAGTACTTTTATTCATGAAAATATTCTAAATATTTTCAATACAGTTTGAAAGAGAGTTGCAAACATGTCTGTTTTAAACAATTTATACTGAGGAATCTCCCAGCATTGTCACTGAAGTTGCATTGGAAAGCAGAAATCAGTGAAGTCACATTCCCTTCAGTGGAGAACAAACATGCTCAAGGGGAAAGCAGGGGAAACTACAGACAAGAATATTTTACTTCTGGGCTTTTTTTTTTTTTTTTTAAACAGAAGCACACATGCAGACGCAGCATGCAAAAATGAGCATATTTTAAAGCTGAAAATGGAACAGGCAACAATAACTGAATCCATGGAAATGTCTTAACATTTTACTCAGAAATCTAATGCATACCTTCTCTCTGATTTTTACATCCAGACTTCTGAATTGCTTTTCAATTTCTTGGATTTGCTGTATCATTGGAGATTGTGTTTCTTTTAGTTTTTTCAATTCTTCTCTTACACGGTCACGGTCTTGTTTCACTTCCTCATATTGTCGGCGAACATTTTCATATTCCTTTCAAAAGTTTAAAGAAAAGTAATTAAAGCATTTTACCATCTGTGTTTAGTGGGCCATACATTTTTATGCCCCTGCAGTGTTCACATTTAACAAAAAGAGAACTGCACAAAGGCTTTTTAAAAGAGATGCTGTTTGAGTAAATGTTCTAGCACCTTGTTAGGGTTTTGTCAACTTGACTCTGTAATAAGATATAGCCCAACTAGTACCTGCTGCACAAATCATGCAATGTTCAATGATATTTGAATAATCCTATTAAACAAATACAGGAAGAGATGTACACTTTTCCATTAGTGTCCTTGATACTAATGAACCTGGGAAATCTGTTCCAATTTCATTATAGTCTACCAGTTCAAATCATCAACATTTTTTTCAATGCCCAACACCAATAGACAGTTGAAATTTAACTAGTATGTGCAGGGCCCTGATGCCTTCCCTACTGAAGTCTGAACTCTAGAAAGCTATGCTTCTTTACATAACCTTTGCTCTGAATATTTGGTATTACACTATTTTATAGGCCAAAGCTTTTTAGGGCGGTTTAGTGAAAATATTGCTTGCATGGGCCCATTTTAAGAGTGTTCATCTGTCTTGACAGCTAACTAACCTCCAGTTACCAGACAGCAATCGACTTCTCTCTTATTGTTAGCAGGGGTATAGGTTATTCTAAAATTGGCTGCTTTGAAAAGGGTTGGCAAGGAGTGTGTCTCCATTACTTAGACTGCAGTAGAAAAAATGCTGTCTATTTAAAAGTGGAAAAATTAAGTATATAGGCAGGAAAAAACAACATCACCTGAAACAAAAATAATAGAAGAGTGTCTTGAAAGCCTACTTTTAGACTCTTTCTGTTTTCCACACTCCAGAATTTAGAATAATCCAGACACTTTAGTTCTGCCCCTCTGGTCCTTTTAGCTATCTCAGCATCCACTAGAACTAGTAAAGGGAAGGGGGGCAGAAGATTGATCTTAACAGACTACATCAGAGGTGGGGCAATTATTTGGGCCCATGGGCCACATAGGGAGCCTTGGTGAGCTGCAGTGGACTGAGTCAGAACCACTCCCCTGCCCAACAACTCACCAAAACTCCCTAAATGGCCACATCCCATCTGACTAGCCAGGTGCCCTGCCAGCACAGGTCCTGTCTGGTCTCCATGGAGGCCCCAGGATCGCAGCAACTAGCTGCATGCATGGAGCTGCTGCTCCCAACTGCCCCTATCGCATGACATCTCCAGCATGGCTCACACCGTGCAGCTCCCACCTGGCACTTACCACCCAATGTGCCCTGCGCAGCCCAGCACAGCCTGTGCTCTCCCTCCCCGCAACCCAGGCTGTCTGCTGCTCCCCACCTTGGTAATGGCTCCACTGCCTCCTAAGCCCCAAACCTCTGCCAAGCTCCTGCTTCCTCACAAGTATAGTTGCCATCCCTAGCTCCTTTCAGGTGTGTGCAGGGCTGCAAATGGAGCCCACTTAGGTCTCTCTTCTGGCGCTGTTCAGGTTGGGCTAATGCTCAGACATTTACAGCCCCCTTAAACAATGTTTCATATGGATAAGGTAATGCAAGAGTGATGCTGTGGCCATGATGGTCCAGAAACTGTGAAAGGCAAAGATTTCTTAGGGTGATATCTTTTATTGGACCAACTATGTAGTTGGGATAATGTAAGACAAACTTCCAAATGCAAGACATTGTTGGGTCTCTTCATGAGAGAGAGAATAAAAAGATATCATGATGGTAAGGTATTTTTTGTCCACACAAATGTGACAAAGCCTTAGAAAAGCCTCTTCACTGTGAAAGCCAGCTGAGTCTTCAAAGAGTATCATGGTAAAGTGAAACAGTGGTGAAGTAAACTAATACAGCTCAGAATGAAAGAGTTGATTTTTCCTAAAGGGCCAAGGATAAGACTGCGTCATCAGATTATCAGCAGAAGTTGGATTAATCTGCTTTCAGGCTGAGCAAAGGAGGACTGTCTCCTTTTTTAAACATATGTTGGTCTACATGGGTGCTTACAAATCTGCATAACTGTCAGCTGCTCTTCCAAAAAGCACTAACTCTACAAAAGCCAGTTGAAGGCTTTTTGGTCCATTAACAAAAATTGGTCTCTTATGTCAAGGAAAAGTAAGAATCCATGGCAAAGGGAACTAATGCTCCCACATCAGCTTGAAATTAGACTCACCTGTATTGAGCTAACATAGGCACTTTGCCCCCTATCTTTTCAATCTTCCTTTATTTCTGGAAAGCGTGGTATTGGAGCTATTGCTGGAGAGAGTGGTATTGGAGCTATTGCTCCCAAGAAAGCAAGCATATGATGGGGTTAAAAACAAACAAACAAAAAAACCCCTCTCTCTCCTGCTAATAGACTTTATAATTGACAATGAAGGATAATACCAACAAATTTGAGCAATTCCTCATATGTAAAACAATGAAAAAAAGCACCTTGTACTTTATAGCTTACAAAATTCCTGTTGCAGTTGTACACTAATGTACAAACAAACAGAAGACCCTTGCTTTTAAACGTACTACTTCCATAAGTGAATGACTTCTTTACAACAATGATAATATTTGATTCCACCCTTGTGGATTATATGGGTTATCACCATGGTCCTGTCTGTTAAATACTTTTATTCTTTTCTCCTGTACTTGAGGGCCAACCAATCTCTTATGGTCTCAATAAGCTTATTTCTGCTATAATACAAATGCAGACATCTTGTATACTTACTACATCTTATATATCTTATAAAATATTTTTCTTATATACTTACCATGAGAGCTGTCTTCTCTGACCCAGTTCAGTGCTTTAAGAGATTGCCACCAGCCAACGGGATGAGGTTTGGACTATTGTTTTTGTCTGACTCAGGATAAAATGGTCAAGGCTTTCTAGGGAGTTCCACTAACAATGTGAAATGTGTACGTGTGTCTCAACCATAAATCTATACAGGCAATGTCTTACATCTATAACATAAGACTATAGAGGCAGCTTGTTCTAAAGTTTGTTCCACTTTAGAAAGCAAATTAAAAGTGTGATAAAGAAAAGAAAGAAAAATGACCAAACGCCAAACATAGGAGCAAGTCGTGCTCATGGCGTGGGGGAAGTAGTGGGCGCGGCCTGATAGCCGCAAGATCGGCGGGCCCGGGCTGACTGGCAGGGGGGGGGCGGATGCAGCCCGTTTAAAAAGGCGAGTGCGCCAAAAGAAAGGGGGGACCCGCGCAATATCGGAGAGGCCTGATCACCCTCACCGGAGGTCCTGCATCCACGAAATCCCTTCCCCCCCGGACGCCCCCATCATGACTGGGTATACCATCCGAACGTGTTTAAGAGCTCTCGAGTTATCAGCAAGTTTAATCTTGAAACAGCTGTTAAGAAGTTTTTTTCTGCCTAAACTGTGAGTGAAGCATTTACTTATCTCACCGCCTCCATGGTGTTTTTCTGTCGACGGAAGGAGAGACAGAAGAGGGAAGAATAAGGCCCCGAAACCCTTTTGTCTCCGGCCTGCTCGCATAATCTGGGTCCAACCACCCATTGTTAGGTTGAACAAAAAGTACTATTACATTACACAAGGGCTGCCCAACTTCACTAACCCACCCCTTCCAGTAACTAGGACAGTGTTTCTCAAACAGGGGGCTATGCCATGAGACCCCCTCAAGGTTGTTGTGATCCAGGTGCTGCCATCACAGCCAAATAAAACTGCCCCATGTGCAAGATTGCAGCAGAAACATGCTCCTCCTGAATTAGGGTTCTCTAAGCAAGCAAAAGAGAAGGCTTCTGCTGTAACCTTTCCAGTTCCACATACCTGGCATGCCTCGGTTTTCAGGAGACACTGATTGGAACAGAAAGAGCTGCAGCATGAGTAAGCATGGCAGGATTTGGTTATTATCTATAAACGATGTCACCTCATATGCGCTCCGCCTGTCTAAACTACAGTAGAGTGTCTTACACAGAGTTTCTGAATCCATTACAAATTCTACTGTGTGAATGAGGTCTAAAAGTTAGCCACATATATGGTGCATCTATACATCGCCGTGCTTTTGTACTTCCTTTGCAGTACGGGTGATTACTGCACCATGTGTGTGACGCACACTAGATTTCACCGCTATGTTAGCATAGCGGAGTGCTATAACTGGGGAGCATGCTGTTACAGCAACATAGCTGACCATCACGTATAAACCCACGTGACTGCTATTTCACCGTAGGATGCCATACAGCAAGGGAGCACGTTTTAATGGTTACGTAATGCCCCAACAGACTGAACAACAAAAGCTTAATTGGTGGTTTCAGTTCTCCAATATTTAATCCATTTGGAAATACTACAGTTGAATCATTTTTGGATTACAAATCTCTTTCAATGTACGCAGATGTCTGTATTAAACCCAGGAAGGAATATCCTTATTTTGTGAAAGCACTTATTTCCTCAGCTCCAGGCATTTGTTTAACAGATGTTCTACAAAATACACTGAAAGGCTTGCTTTTGAAAAAGCAAAAAGACCTACCATTATTCATCACATCCTAGGAAGCAAGTACCCTCACACCATAAGAGAGCACTGAACAAGCGATCTATCAGTTGGGAGTCGATCTGCTTTCCCTTTAAGACAAAGTATAAACTGGAAGCAACATGTGGAATTAATTGGAGGCTAAAGTGAAACCAGAAGTAGAACACAAGACAATCTGGTTGCCCCTTATAATTTTGGTAGTTTTCAAGCAATTCTGGGTCAAGTTTCTTTCTCCCTCTCTCTAGTGTGATAGATTCATAAAAAAAAAAAAATCACAGGGGTGAAAAAAAAATCAAGACTAAAAATAAAATTCTTACCACCCAAGGCCTTTTTCTCTCAAGCATCTCAATTACATCTAGATGACGTTTGCGCTCATGGTACCTCTCAACATCTTGTCTATATCGTTCAATCCTCTGTTTCATTTTCTCCAAGGAATTAGTTTTCTCTTTGCATAAATTCTGTCAGAGTATGAATTTTACATTATTTATTTTGCTCAATAAAAACAAAAACAATTTTCATAATTCCTCAATATCTCATTTGTATTCAAACAAGCAGAAATTAAGTATTAGACAGAAGTTCTAGTACAGTAGTTTATTTTTATAATGTGCAAACCGATTTCATTCTTCAACAAAGGAATACCCAAACCGCTTGTCTCAGCCAAGGGCAGTACTTGAAGTTACAGGACCTTTATTTACCCTTTAGATTTGCTCTAAAATCTCAGGCCTGATCTAGATAAAATGGAATTCAAATTATTCTTGCTTTTAAATCTGAAGCTTTTCTGATCAGAATGAGTTATGGTCATGGAGTAGGAGAAAACAGTTTTTCTTTGCTATATTACTCATTTTTCAAGATGAAGTCCTAGCCAAATAAGAGTAATCTGCTTTTCTTATTTAATTAGAAGAGAACTAACAGAACTTTTAGTTAATTATAGCAATATACACATATATAGCTACAGTATATAACAAGTCTCTCTTTTTAAGATTCCTTTGATCCATTCTTGCAGGACTGATAACAGGTTACACCAAAGGGATTATTATAATGGATAGCAAACTGACCTTCAATTAGATATTAAACTGACACAATGGTTCCTATGCAGGAGCCCAACTTAAAAAACTCAGTACTTATTAGGAATATGTTCAGCCAAGCATAAAAGGAAAAAGACTTATACTTGTAAAAGAAGCATATAACACATCTGCCTGAATGTACTTATTGTACTTGTTTTAAAAAAATGAAATAAGTCTATCACAATCCTTCTATATACATCCCCCTATTTTGTGGATTCTTACCTCAAGTTCTCTCTCTCTCTCTCTGAAGTTTTTTAGCTCACAGTGGAATTTGTACATTTCTGGAGGACCAATTGATTTTTCTGTGGCTTCAAGAAGTTCTACCTTGGACAGTTTTGCAAATTCCCCAACTTTGTCCTATAAAACAGGAAGCAAATATCAAACACTGTGCATCTGTTATAATACTGCAACAAATCAATACTCCTTATTAGAATATATTAGCCTATTTCAAGCTCTCACACACTTACGAAGGCAGGGTAGAGATGCACCTTGTAGCCTAACTAAATCAGAAATGCATAAGCTTTTGTATTCCAGACCTCACTTTTTCAGATGCTATCAATGGATCTGATTACATCATTCATAGCATTGCATGAAATGAGCTCTGGCTCATAAAAGCATGAGCACACACCAACTGCTGAAACTTCCTTAGCCTGACGAAGGGTTTTTGAACCTGAAAGCCTGCTTAATAAATATTCTCCAACTATTTGGGTTGGTCTAATAAAAGATATCAAATTCACCCAAGGAACTTTGTCTGCCTATGCATCTTTGATTTACTTAGCCTACAAGATACATCCCTACGTTGACTTCAGACTAGTATGGCTAACGGCCTCTCTGTGCTCATAGATGGCAACAAGCTTATAGCACAGTTATGTGTCAGATGGTTTTGGAAATTCACTCTTCAACTTATAATACTCATGAACACAAGCTATGCACCACAGCCTAGCCAGTAACTCCACTATCAAAAGCAAAAGTAGTTAACATATGCCCATTTAGAGCTTTCCTAGCTTAAGCCCCAATTTATGACAATTTCTGCCCATAGTTTATAGCAGCTACTATCCAGCCATATGTAGCAGGACAAGTTGTCCTTTTAAGGAGGAACAGTCAGCCCTGCTAAGACAGCTAAACTGTGGGGTATTTGGCTAAGGAGGCAGTGTCCTACTGACAGCTTTAAAAGTTCCAAAAAGAGAAAATAAGTGGAAGGAGAAAGCAAGTTGTTAAGGAAACAGCTTGCTTCAAGGAGAAGCCAAGCTTCTGTGCTGGGGCTACAGCAGAAAATGACTCTTCTCCTGGTCCCCAGGACAGGACAAAGGATTTTGCTTGGCTTGGTTGTTTACTGAATTTTGCTTTGGAAAACCAGCTGAGGAACTCATGAAGGAGGGAACTCTTCTGCAGAAGTCAGCTGGATAAAGGACCCACTTACACAATACTTCAAACTTCTCTAAGTAAAAAAAAGACTGCCCTGGGAAGCTCAACATGTCACTCCATCATGCTCCAAGAGTTTGTTCTAAAGCTATTTTCCTTAAGATCTCACTTACCATGAGGATGTTTTAAAGCAGTTAGGCTCCCGGGATAATTAACATGGTTAAGTACCACTTGGTAAAAATATATAAGCCAGCATGTTTTTTAAAATCATCATCTTTTTCCTGCCCAGAACTGAATGGATCTAGTGGAATTTTCTTATTTTCTAATGCAGATATATTTTGCAGGCAATTGCCTGCATGACAGATCCCAGATTCTCTCTGCCACTTTTCTTTCTCAAACATGTGCTCCACATAAAACAAAAAGTACTGAGAGAGTATCTTGTATATTTAATAAAAGTTATATTTAAGATTATTTACCACCCGGACACCCATATGGAGACCTTTTAAACCCATTTCTTATCCATTAGACTATGCCACATAACAAGTAATGGGTGAATGATTACCTAATTTGACAAAATTGAGCCATAAAACATTAGGCGTACTGCACTCACAAATATTTAAAATGGATTCATCACAGTAACACTAAAATAGCTTTCTCTCTATCCCACAACTCTTTCTGTCCTTTCTACTGAAGTACTTTTAGAAGCTAAAAAAACCTAAGTATAGGCCTTCATTTGTATATAATACCTTAAAAATAAAATTCCTTCTTACCTGAGGGAGGAACTGGCACAGATTGCCCACTTGGATATTTAAGGCTGCAATTTGCTCCTCTACTGTTTTCAAGGAAGAAGGCTTTTTATTGATCAACCATGTTGATGAATTGTTTGCCACATGAATCTCACGTGTGATAACAAGATTATCAGGAGGTTTAAATCTGATGAATAGAAAAACTGTTAAGTATTTACTAGTTTAAGCATTTCATACCTGACTAAACTACTTGCATGTTTTAGTCTCTTACATTACAATCAGAAATCTTATAGCCTTTTAGTGAATGTCAGATCAGTAACTGCCCTTAATATTTAATGCAAGATTAATGGAAATCAGCAAGTTATATTTAAGAATGTAACATTAATTGCAAACATGAGAATTTACACAAGCAGTCACAGATGTAATCACTTTCTCATTCCATATTTTCCATCTTGAAATTTTTCTACTGATCAAACATGACATTCAGTTCAGTTTGGATCTCTCCAGATAGTAAATTATTTGCCTCTGCATGCCATCATTCTCTTGCCAAATTTTCCAAATAAGGAATGTAATCAGACTTAATTTACCTATGCTGCCTTACTGCTTCTAGATCTTTTTTTAAAAAACAGCTTTAAGTACATACACATCAAAAACAGAACCTTAAAATTAGGCTACAAAACCATATTCAGGCAACAAATGATGGCATGTTCATAAGCACCTGATACAACTTTTGAGTGTAAGTCCTATAGACATCAAATACTGGTGGAGAAATATAGCTTGGTCAAAGCATTCCAACAGTTTTGACATACCAGAAGTCAGTGCTGATTACAATTACTATACGAACTATTACTTATGAGTTTTGTGCTGGTGCCACCTTACATGTATTAATGAGGCCCTACAACTGTAGAGTACAAGTATTGGAAAGCTTGTATGCAATATTTATTATTATTAAGTTTCTAAATTCTAGTAACAATTAGAAGAGCAAACATAAATAAATAAATGTATCCACTTCATCAATTTAAAAGTGAAGTGGAAAATACATCTTTTAACAAAGTTACTACTTTAAACATACTCAAAAATTAAATTATTTTTTATCCAATCTGCTGCAGTTTAAGCATGTCATCTCAGTTCTCACATATTTGCCTTACTTCCTGGCCAACAGGTGAGATGTTCCAAGTCCTAAGTCCTGCCTTTCACATGTTCTATATAAAAGTGATTTATGAAATATTATGTTTCAAGTAGTTTACTTCTGCAGGCCTTTCTGCTTTGGCTAAATATGTTACATATATTATGCAATTAACTCATTAATCACACAATAAAATTAGACCAGCCTCCCATGCAAAGTAATTATCACACCATAAAAAATGATTAGAGCTATAAAAAGAGCCAACCAGCTACCAAGAATAAAGCGTGAAAATGTTAGCTCTATAGCTCATTTCTATCCAGTTTTAATTTAAACATGTAACAGGGACCCAAGAGACAGTTTACATACGTAAAAGATAGCATGTCCTTGGAACTACCTTTCTGTCCATTTTCCTTCCCTTTTGTTTGACACACAATTCTTTGCTGCAGGACCCAACACTGCCCATAATACCCAATGTTATGAAGTTGTGTTGCAATCTTAACAAATAACTTCAAGCTAAGAAAGAGCTCTGTATTACATAAAAACAATTTAAGCAATTAAGGTACAACTACATACTGCATTCTATGCGTTCACTTAATCAAAACTGCAACAGCATTATATGAAAGTTGAATACATAAAAAGCTAAAACAAATTAAATCAAGGAACAGTATTTTCACATTCACTCCTTTTCTTTTTCTGTGTGCCAAGAGCCCCATTTTGAGATTATGGCAAATATGACAGGTTATTAGCTGGTCAATTATAATCACGTGAAAGCCAATTAATATTATCAACTTCAAAGTGAGTCAGAACTACTTGAACCAGGAGACATCACTATACTAGACTTCTTGCAGATCTATTTTGTGATGCAGAAACAAATGAAAACTAAAAGGTGGTTTTAGTACTTACAGTTCAATTTCAACTGTGCCTTTACAGCAGCCTCGCTTTACGAAGAAACCAACCTGCAAAGAAAGAGCTACAGAATTTAATACCTGAAAATCAAAGACATCTCTAAAGTCAAATTTCCCAGAAAACTCATAACAGCTTTTGAATATTTGACCACATAATCAATACCAATCTATGCTACTTTACACACAGTTCTCAAACATGCACTTACTATACAGACAGTGCATGGCCAATACTGAAAACCCATTAGACAGTAATAATAGACCAGGACTTCAGTTTCTTCACAGAAGAGAGAATAGGGTGATTTAGTGAACAGGGTCATACTACAGTTTGCTATAATTCACTGACTGCTCCAAAACTCATGCCCTACCTGAAGGTTGATACTTGAATCATAATTTGAAACTCATTTAGCAAAATGAGTTTCAGATAACGCCATATTCATTTTTATTTTCTAGCAGTATACACAATACCTAAATAAAAAAGGCGAGAAACCTGACAGCTGGCCCCATCAAACCCATCTATTTTGAAAATATTTGCTTGTCCAGGCAGGAGAATGATGAAGTCACTAAGTGACCAGTTAATGGACACAACCACTTCTAGATGGCCATGTTATCCAGCTGCCAAACCAATGTCACCAAATTCACTCTTGAATTTTCAGAAAAATCTCAAAATGTCAAAACAATTTTAAAACCCCATTGTCTAATCAAGACATTTATTTTATACTACTACAGAGATAATAATACATTTCTTGTGACAAAGTAACAGAGAAAAAACAGAAATCTTCCCAACGGACTCTACACGTTCACATTTATGGGATGCACTAAAAGCACTGGTGACAGTGGGCCCTGCAGTGTTTGTCAGAGGTCATTGTTGCAGTCTATGAACATAAACATGCAAAGGCCACTTAAATAACCTACTGAGGCTGAAGAAGAACACTTCAGCCTCCCAAAACTCCCTAGCCAGGAAACAAGAGGAAAAGAACATGCATTTCCCCAGCCCTAGAGTTTTCATTAAGTTATGTTACTTAGGACATCTGAGTGTCCCAACATGAATTAAATACTTTCAGACTGAATGCAAATTCTCTCTATTTATCTTGTCTTGCTAAGTCACTCCTTGGCAAACCTAAAGCAGAGCTGTGTTTTTCATGGAGAGCTTTTTCAGTGCAGCAGACTAAGGTATTGTCCTACAGAGGCTCTCTCTGTTTCCAGTACTGGCAGCAGACAGTAGTTGTCACAGAGAAATTAACAGACTACATGCATACTGCACGGCTTTTGGCAGCTCTGTCCAGGTCCTGCTCAACTACAAGAGCTGTGCCAACAGGTTAGAGAGCCCAGTCTACTGCAGCAACCATCTTTCAGTTGAGCAGGTGTTGCTCTGCTGGCAGAAAGAAGGGCTCTGTTGTCACAGATGCTGTTAGCATCAATGCACTCAGTCTCACTAACTTCTGCAATCAAAGCTCTCTTAAGTGGAGACTTGGCCCTATTTGCTGAGGAGCTATTATGCACCTTCAAATGGAGTTCACAAAAGTACAGGGATTATGGCTGCTTCCTGCTGGACAGGGCCCTCAGTGATTTCCTCAGTTAAGTACCTGGAAGACAGAAATTTGTACTGACCTTGTCTGCTCGCCCTATGAAAGAAGGTTTTCCGGCCAATCCCAGACAGATGGCACAAACAATGCTTGATTTTCCTGTTCCATTAGCACCCACTATCATGTTCAAGTGAGGTCCTGGATACACTTCACAATTATCATATGTTCTGAAAGACACCATGATTTCACATTAGTCTTCATTATAAAATATAAAGCAAGGTATACTAGAAAAAAAAGTGAGAATTTTAAACAAAACAAATACATGCAAAGTAACATCAAAGTGGTCTAGGGCAAGCACAGCACAACACAAACATACATCTACAATACTACAGATGAGATTTAAGTGCTTCCCCAAATACTGCTTTGTATAAAAATTTGCATCATAAAAAGAATTAATTCCACATCATCTGATGCAGCATAAGAAAAGCCATCAAGCTGTAGTGATCGTCTATCCTTTTCCATAAGGACTGCAGAAAATGAAAAATTTGAGAGGTATGCCAATTTGAAAAATTTGCTCTAGGTATGGCAATTGCAAAGCTGCCATTTACTTTGATGGAGCATGGATTTCACCCTTATGAGTTTGTTTTTTTCATTCAGGGAAAAAGGGCAAGCAGAATTTTGACAAAACTGATAAACAAAAGCACCTAAAGTTGTGTTGAAGTGTGTCATATTTGACACAAGCCATCTTCTGCATCACAGATCCTAATGAGCATTGCCTATATTCAAAGGTCAGACACAGCCTGCTGTGTTGTATATTAAGTTCTGCAAAGGTTTCTGATTCCATGGCACACAAGTGCAGCTACCTACAATAGCTTTCTATCCTACAATAACTTAATTTAGTCTAACTCCTCAGATTTTGTATTTAAGCCAGACACAGCATGCTCAGTTGCCAACCAGAAAGTTGCCAGACACACTGATAGACAGCAAATCCTTCTTTAATCCATCAACTGCTGTGCCATTAGAAGACCTGACGCTGACCAGATCCCATCATTTTTAGGCTGCCATTAGAAGTAAAGTACTGGGAGTAACAAGATTACCAGAGGTGCAGAAAGGGGAGAGCAGGCTGTTCTCAGAAGACACACTTCAATCAGACTCCCTCCTTCTAATGTGTATGAACAAAGTTGTACATAATTGAGCGTACTTAACTGCAACTCCAACATATACAAAACCACAGGGCTCTTCCATTTTCATGACTGAATCCAACACTCTGGGCCATCCCTATGTCAAAGCAGTTTTTTTGACAATGCCATTAGAATGCCATTAAATGGTTTCGCCCAGAAAATCCGTGTCTTGTGGTTACACTTCCTCCCATAGCTCCCTGCAGTGAACAGCTTGCACTACCCAGCACTGCTGTTTCCCAGGATGACTCCAGGCTAAGCGACACCAGGGCATTGGTTACACTCCATCTGTCCATTCTTGCAATCATAGCTGTGAGAGACTACAAAGGTGGGGGGAGGAGGGGAATCCCCATCCCCACATATGCAGAGGCATGATCCTCAGAGAAAAGCCCTTGGGGACATAAGAACTGCCATTTACTGGGTCAGACCATAGGTCCATCTTGCCCCGGCTCCTGTCCTGCATCACACAGAACCAGGTCCTGCATAAGGGCAGTCCCCACTCCCCAGAGCTGGCGTGGGGCCCCCGCCTTGGCAGACCCCATGGTACTCTCCACCATACTGCTGGATTCTCTGTAGCAGGCTGTGGGATACGCCAGTCCGCTTCTGGACAGCCCATCACCACCAGCTGTACACGCTCAGGGTCTGCACCCTCCATCATCCCTATCCTTACATCCCCCCTGGACACAGTGACAGGACATCCTTGGTGAAGATGAGGGTCCCTGGTGGATGAGCGTGTACTCCACCTCAATCCCACAAGCCATCGGGAGACCTCAGCTGGCAGCTCTTCCAGAGAGCTGTCACCATGGATGGCCATCTAGAACAGTTTACAGACTCCCCCAAAACCTGCCCCTTCTGTGAAGAGAGGGAGATCCTGGCACGTGCCTACCTGGAACGTGCCAGGCTGCAGCCCCTTCACCGCCTGCTGAGTTTAGGGTTGCATTACTCCCTGCAGCTTTTCATTTACAAAAATGAACTAGTCCCATGTGATTGAATGAACTAGGCCTCACAGAGTCCCAGTCCTAGACCAATAAACTAGGTCCCACCTAGTCCCAGAACCTCCAAGTCAACCTCTTCCTGAATCTAGCCAACCTACCAAGCTTCCTCACCCAATGGAATAACAAACAGGCTTGGTCAACCTCCTCATTGGCCCAGCCATGCCAGCGATCTACCCAACCAAGACGGAGGCTCTGGCTGGGAGGACACCCTGCCCTCCCCCCAGAGGGCTGCAAGACCTTTATCCATCTACGGCCCATTCACACCTCCAGACAGTTTCACTCAGTGTTCCCAGGTTTACAATAATTATCGCATTTGTATGATAATTTCAACCCTTGTACAACATATGATCAATAAGAACAAAAGCATTCAAAATGTATGATAATTTTTGAGGTCGCTCATTGATGCAGCACAGGCAAAACCCAAGTCACTCTCAGGGAGGCCTAACTGACTTTGAAGTTTGTGGTCAGTACTTTCTTATGACCAATGGCCTCGAAATAGAGAAATGCTTCAACTTTGAGGACCCGGTTCTCACTCACCCACTGGTGATTACAGTGAGCAATATAAAGTAAAGAAGAAAAAAACTTATTTGCCTCCTTTTTTCAGCGTACGATCGTTTTTCAGCAAATACGATCATTTTGAGCTTCCAAGACAATAATTTCTGCATTGAACACCTAGCAAGGCTGCTGGTTTCACTGAGCAGGGTCTGCTGCTTCCTGAGCATCTGCTGCCTATCCCCAGCCCAGCAGGCAATGCCCAACATGATGTGCTCCGTGTTGCCCCTCGGTGCACTTGTCCTGGCCCTCCGCGCCCTCGCTCCCAGCCGGTTTTGTCTTTTGGGTGTCCCAAGCAACCACCAAAGGGGACTCACAGCCCTACTGGGCGGGCTGGGGGGGGGGAGGGTCAGCATAGCTAGAGACCTCGTGGGGGCAGCCCCTCCCTTCTCCCCCCCCCCCCCCCCGCCACACGCTGACGTCACCCCCTCCGTTGCCCGCCGCCACACGCTGACATCATCCCCGCGCCCCGCGCTCACAGGAAGTTCTCCATGGCGACTCGCACGATGGAGCCCTCCACAACCGCGGACGGCGGCTTCGCCTCCCCCCGGCCAGCAGCGCCCGCGCCCCGCCCGACGCTGCCCCCAGCTCTGCGCTTGGCCGGGGTCGCCATCTTCGTGCCGGCTGTATTCGTACTCTCCGCCCCCCCGAACTTCTGCCGCGCGCCGTGTAGAGACTAAGCGGTCGGCTCAGCGCTCCAAGCGCCCATTGGCGGGGAGAGGGGGAGACGTCACAGCGCTCGGCGAAGCGCTCGGCCCATTGGCTGAGCAGGGTGCGGGAATGCCGGCGGGGAGGGGAAAAGGTGAGGGGGGGAGGAGAGAGGCGGGGGAAGGCCGGGGCCGCCCGTTACTTTCAGTTTCGCTAGGCTCGAGATTATGGCCGCGCGTTGTGCCCGGCACGTGACGCCTTATTGCACTCGCCATTGGCTGCGGCTGGGCAGGGGCGGTTCCTCCTTCAGAGGGAGAGGGGGCGGGGCCGGGTGGGTGGTGCCCTTTTTGGTTTACTCTCCCTGGCTACCTCGCGTTACGTTTGCGTGAGGGGGAGCTCGCGTCATGGGCTGTCAGGACTACACTTCCTAGCTTGCATCGCGGCTCGTGGGGCGCCCTCCCAGCATGCGCTGCGGGCGGGCGCGGCGCATTCTAGGAGATGTAGTCTCCCGGGCACAAACAGCCCGCGCTTGGCCCTGTGGTTTGGGTCGTGCAGACACGTGACCTCGGGCAGGACTAGGCCAAGGCCTCAGGCTGCAGCCGGCTGGGGAGTGTTTAGACTGGGGGTGGGGGAGGAGCTTTCTGTGTCTGCGGCACTCGCAGGTTGCAGGCATGGTGCGATCGCACAGTAGACTGAGCGGGGCTGCACTTGCAGTATTCTGCCATAAAACTGTCCCTTCCATTACAGGGCTGGGAGGTAGTGCTTGAACATGTGTAATAACTTGATGGCTGGTTCTTATCCAGCTTTCATTTGAAACCATGGCAGGGCCCCTAGGCTAGTCAGGCAGGCACTGGCACAGGCTGCCTAAAGGAGCTGTGCAATCTCCATCCCTAGAAATGTTCAGGAGCCAGCTGCACAGATACTGGGCTGGGATGGTTTAAAGGTGGTGCTGCCTTGAGCCTGGGGCCAGATTTGGTGGCCTGGTGAGGTCTTTGCCAGCCCTGCTTTCTTGTGTTCCTGTGTCCTTCCACTTCCATGCTGTCATAAAGTTGAGTTACTCTGCAGTAATGTTTGCCTCACAGAGTCACCAGCTTTGCCTTGCCTTGCGACTTGCATGGTGCTGAATGACATGAGAACAAAGCCAAAGGTCTGCCCCCATTGAGCAGGCTTGGAGGGTGCTGGCAGCTATAGCCAAAACAGACGAAGGAGCTACACAGTAATCATTACCTCAAACTTCTTTTGACCCCCCCACCTTGTGTAACCTGTCTCCTATTTACAGAAGGAAAGGAGTCATCTCCAGATACAAGTTTGGAGCAGGTTCTTACTTGCTACTGGAGCTGCCATGAAATGTGCCCTCGCAGCTCAGCTCCACTGCCTCAGTTCAGTGCTGAATGCCACAGCCCGCAAAACTCCTCAGGGAGGAGCGTCACGGACCCTATCATCATGCTTTGTCTGTCTCTCCCCTTGACATAACACATGCTGGATCAATGCAGAGAGCTACAGTAGCAGCACATCTTCAGACCTGTTCATGATGCCAAATTTGGATGGAAATGGAATTTAGATTATCCTTACTGCCTTATCTCCAAATATTTTCCTGACTTTTTATCAGCTGACTTTAAACATAAAGGAAATGACCAACTGATTCCACAGGGAAACATGCTAAAATTAATTAATTTGCTCAGTCAGGCAAGTCTCACTCAGTATGTTAGTTTTTAATAGTCAACATCAAGTGTTATTTGGCTAGCTGTAGAAGTTGTAAATATAGTGCAATAAACCTGTTGTCAACAAGACAGTAACACAAAAAAGACTGTTAAAAGTTCAAACTATTCATGTAAATTGGGAACTAAACGTTATCGGAGCATGATTTCCATCTGTATATATAACAAATTGAGACAGTTGTTCACTCTTGTTTTATGCTGTATTGACATAGAATGACACCTATTTTTTTCTTAAAAAATCACAAGTGTTTTTGCCTCAACTGTCTTGCTTGATTAATGTTGTTGCAGGATTAGGATACGCTACATGAGAAGGAAGTTCTTCTCAATGTGTTTTGAGTTTACCCTTTCACTTTTTAGTATGTTGTCCTTTCATTTGTTCTCTGAAATGCAGAACATTTGAACTTCTTTAAAGAGTATCCTTAAAAGATTGCATCCTATTAGGTTCATTTTCTCCTTCATGTATCTCCCATATAAGTTATAGAATCATAGAAAATTAAGGTTGGAAGGGATCTCAGATAATAAGTGCCACAGATATTATCAATAGATTTTGTTATCTATATGGATGTACCACCCAGATTAGGATTCAGGCCCCATTGAACTAAATGTTACACAGACACAGAGGCTAGCTGGATTTAGGAATTGATAGTCTAATTTACAACAAAAAGCATCAAGTGAGACTAGCAAACACCTTGAAGGAAGCTGAGGATAAAGGTAGCAAACAGCCCCAAATCATAGGCTGATTACACCAAAATGTGTTTATTTAGACCTAGACTCCATAAATATACCTAGAAAAAGTTATGGATAATAGCTATAGCATGTCAGTATTACCAGAAGACACTGACAAACTCAGACTGAAACACTGCATTCTGAGACAGGATAACAGATAATTTAATTAAAAGACTTATATCAGGCACTGGCCAGAATAGAAGAATTTGCAGTAGGGAAGGTCATCACACATTTTAAGTAGCAACAGCAGGAACACAGAAGATAGACTTAGATGATTGTGTCAGACTAAGACATGCTTAATATGAACTGATTTCAGACTGAAGATGGTCCTGTCCTTTCCACTAGATGGCAGCAGAATCTAACACTTCTTCCACAGGGAAATGATTTTACCACTGAGAAATTATTTCAAAGGTCTATGGGATATACAGTCATTAATGTAAACATATGCATCCTCTAAATATTTGCACTCCTTGGGGTAGGACAGAATATTGTCAGTGCCTGGACCAGACAAAGCCTTTCAAGTAAAGATGCTGGTTTCTGCAACCCCTAAAGTACCATTTTAAATCTCTGACTTGTCTTTACTTTGTAACAAAACAAAAAGAAAAGTACATTTTCTAGTTATTTTTGTTGCAAAGGGAGCCTGTAGCATGGAAGCGAATACATAGGTATCAGGGGTAGCACTTGCTTGGAACGCTATCCTCCTGCCCCCCAAGCCTTACACAGACTCCCTTGGAAGCCAGCCCAAGCATAGCTTCTAGAGTGGGAGCCCCTGACTCCTCAGACCCAGAGACCTGGCCCTTTGGTCCCTGACCTCTCTGATCATCTATGGCCTCCTTTTGGATGAGCTTCTGGAAAATTACTTTACCTCTTTGATGAGACAGAACATGCCCAAGTCATATGCAACAAAGCAAACAGCTCTTCTTCCGAATACAAAACAACATTTTTTGGTCAATCTCAATATAAGAGGCAGCATTCTAGAGCTACAAAGCCTAAGTCATCGTTCCAGGCAGTCTCCAAGAGGAAAAATAGCCCTGAATGTTCTCGCTCCCCCAAAAATCTCAGACTTCTCCCTTCTCTCTCAGTCCCTTATATCTGGGCACCCCTGTTTTTCAAGATGTTTTATGCTTTCATGTTCCCCCTTGGCACCAGAAGCAGCAGTGAGTCTTCTACAGGTGCTGAAGCTGAAATCTATCTGGTGCTACTCTGGGTCTTCATGAACAAATCAGCCCACTGATCTCTTGATGTCCCATTCCCTACTAATAGAGCACTGCCTGCAGGTTTCCAGAAATATTACAGCACAACCATAGTCTGTCACAATGAGAGCTTCTGGGATTAGTGCTCCAACTCATTGCTCATTCAGCATCTCTTTGCTTTTTGTTAAGGGATCCTAGAAGAACAAATTCATGGTGGTGGAGTTTTCCAATCTAACTGTTGGGACAGGGAGGGCTTCCATCAATGTCACTAGCACATTCACAACTTCCTTTTGTTACGCTTGCGCTGACACCGCCGCTGAGCTGCTAGTGTGGCTTCCAGCCAAAGGAAATAAGACAGCTACACTAAGCAGCCAGTTTAATATTAGGCTGCTAGTATATAGGGACAGAGAAAACAATCGTCTTTCTCCAAGTCTTGGAAGAGGCAGTTGCTGGAGTAGGGTAGAGAGGAAGAATAAGCTGAACTGAGAGAAGAGGAACCACTGTTGTGGATGAGAGATGAAAAAGAAATACGATACCCCAGAAAAGAGCAGGCATGAGAGAAGAGTGAAGGATGAGGTAAAGATCTGAAAGCTAATATGGCAGAAATATGGAACATTCTAAAGATGGGGAAAGCAAGCGAGAAAGAGCAATGGCAATGGAGGTGTACATGGAAGAGAATGAGAATGGGAGAGAGAAAATTTCAAAGAAAGTTAAGAACAAAAAGGAGAGAATAGAAAAAGAGATAGGAGAAAGGAAGGAAAGAAAAATGGAGCATGGAGATGGGTGTGGAGAAAGATAAGTATAAATGGGAGTGGTAAATGTTTCTACATTCAGTGAATGGAGATGTCTCTCTACCACTTTAATTATACTTCCCAGCATGAGGCCAACTTATGAAATCATATGAAATTACAATGTAAAAGTTGCTGTAAAGGAAGTTCTACAATTTAAAAAATGGTAAATATACCTCTAGGTTAAATGGTTACATTAATTACACACAAAAACATAGAGATAATAGTAGGGTTTGTGTGAAGGAGCAAGGGGCGGATTTTTGTTTTTGCTTGGTAGGAATGTGAGGAGTAGGAGCTTCTGGTTTGTAGTAGGTGGTAACATAAGAGCAATTCATGCCTATTTCAGCATTGCTCTTAAATTGTATAGCCTTTAAATTTACAAAAAAAGCACTTGCAGTTCTGGTGAGCCCATTCTTTTATGTGTATTCAAAATCAGACAGATAAAATTATTCACTAATAAGCATCAAAACTAAGTCTCTGGAAGATGTGTGTTCTGGGTGGTGTTCCAGGCTGTGGCAAGTACTAAACTTTTGGGTGCTCATCATGAGATATTTGCATGGAATTACATGAAAGTAAAATTGGATTTACATGTTGTTGAATCAGCCCATAAAATTTATTTTGGTCTAAAATAACATAGGGGTCAGGATTTGATTTCACTTACATGGGTGTAAACCAG